TCAACAAATATGGACAGGTAGCCGTTACTCTGAAAAAAAGCTACAATCCATCAAGTTATCTTTTTTTATCTCAAAAAGGATGACACGGTGGGCAGACATATAATCAGCTGAGCAGAAACAACATAAACATGTGCTGTGCGTCGGGTCCTGAAGGTCTCCGAAAACCTGTCAGTAAAACACACTTCACATTCTCTCTGTCGTTTAGCACTTGCAGTCCAGCATAACCCTGTTAGAGCTACTTACACTCATTAGAGATACAGGGTGAAGGTCACACACAGACACACAAACGCACACACACAATAACAAGGTCAGACTCAAGCGTGGGTCTGATTATTAAAAACATTTCAGTCGGGCACATCTGTTACCAGGCAACTGCCACGATCTGACTGCATTCATGGGTTTAAAAAAGAAGACAAACTTTAAGATGTGAGGAGGACACAATAGCATGTATCCTGTCTATAAAACATCAATGCTGGGATTTGCTACAATAACTGAGACAAATCAATATAGTCGCTTAGTGACAGTTGAATTCAAAATACTCACTTTTCAACATTGATTTGGCCCAAACAGATATTTCATCACCATTAAAAAACTCTTATTATTTCCAAAACTGCATTTGGCTTGAAGAATGCATTTCAAACAGTATGTGAGGACTGATCAGGGCGCCTAGATATGTTCTCTTTTATAATCCCCAGTCTTCTTAATCTGCAATTATGGAGACAGTTTAGTATTCATATCGCCATGTTTGCTTTGGTTAAGAATGACCTTCCTCAGCATTTGTGTGAAAGAAAGCTAAGGAACAACAAGATAGTTTTGCTTTGACAAAACACTACACCTTCTCACGGGTTAAATATGTAACGTTTTTGACAGATATATTATAAGACAACGAAACATAAGTATCAATGCGGTGAATACACTGTAGATAAGGAAGTTCCACCTTTAATTTAAGCACCTATCAGCTTATTCAAGTACATGAATCTTTTCTTTCAAGATGGCTGCGGAGTGATTTTCATAAGGACTTTGCTGACATTTTTGACTAATTCAACTGTTAAACATACCATAAAACATGTTTGAGCTCAGCAACAGGTTCTATGATTAAAGTTATAATAAAGCTAGAAAAGAGAATGTTCTACCAGAATGTACAATGTACTACCAGTGTTACACCCGCCAGCTGGAGTGCCCCGGATAACCCCGAGAGTCTGTCCAAACTGCACTGTCAATTTTACAGAAAAAAATGCTACTGCAAAAACTGTAAAAATCCTACTGTAAGCTACTGTACTATTAGTTGGTTAAATGTAAATTATCTTACCATACAGAGTGAAAAACTCTAAATGGTTTAACATCACATTATATATGTTATACTGTAAAATGTATGGTTTTGCAAGTAAATCTATGAATTATTGTATCATTTATAGTGAAAAACAGTAAAAGGACATTCCCAGAACTCCCTGCATGACACATCACATATGATTATAGTTGAAGGTAAACCTTAGATTGTTATATTAACATTCTACCACATAATGAAATATATGATTATAAACATATTTTTACAGTGACTTTCTGGCAAGCTGAGTTGCATAATTTTTATCATAAATTTAACAGGATATTTAGAACTTTTTCTAAATAATCTAATATTTATTGATAAAGGTGCAGAAATGATATACTCACCTAATCAGCAGCTAAAGTCCTTCTTAATAGGCCTCAAAGAGTCTATTCATGAAAGGAAAACCCACACTGGCAAAACATGACTATTTTCTGTCCACACACTACATTTAAAAACAACATAGCCTACTCTCCTGTAACTCTCCAAACACACTCTTCAATCTTTCCTCTCCGAGGGTGTGTTTAAGTGTGTATGCCATTGGAAACATCACAAGACCTGACTCCTAAAACCCCTTCAAAACAAAACAGTCTATGAACGGACTAATGAGTTCATCTCAAAAAAAGATAAGACCCCGGAGCCAATTTCATTAAGCTCATGCTTCAGGACAGACATAACCGCTTTAGTTAAAGTGATGTGACAAAAATGAGAAGACCTGAAAACAATTACTATGCTAATGGAGCAAATTTAAACTCCTTGACTTCACGTTACAAGCGCTGGGAAAATAATGCCTGTCTGTGGCTGATATTCTGCACTTGTTGAGACACAACCGCGGCAAAATAGTGCCACTCATGCTGAATATGAACAGAGATACAGCTGTTGTGAGAGGTATGGCATCGCTATGTAGATCTTGAAAATATAAAAATAAAAGCTAATTCAAAATATAAATAAATACTATAATAGTATACACATAATGCTGATGCTGTGTGAAATTTTTACACTATTGACAATAGATAATGGACCTTTTTAGTCACACTTTTTGCAACAATGTTTAATTGGGGGGGGGGGGGGGGGGGATGTATGAGCAGTAAAAATTGAGACACTTGTCCAAAGAACACTTCTAAAAGTACTTTAACATATTTCTTCCTGTTGGTAGGCTGGTTAAATTATTTTGATACGGATTTAACAGTAATCAAATTTGCGATTATTTAATGAATTTAGGTCTTTCCACAACTCTCCTTTCCTTTTTTTTTTTTTCTTTCCTTCGCCTTCCACCTCCTCCTCCTCTCTCCTCTTTTCTTTTTGAGGTAATTGCCTGATCTCTAATTCCACCCAAGGCTCATCTCCCAGACAATCAAGCCTGGTCCTTTACCCCGACCTGGGCACACACAGAGCCCTGACTCTGAAGTAATCATTTCACCAGGGAGGAGAGATAACCAAACAATCACCATTAACCCTGAGCCTTTGCTGTCTCTCACTACTGTTCTGAGATGCTCTCTCTCGGGAAGAAAAAAACTCTCCAATCACACGGATTCTGCTAATAAATATCATGCCTCCCCCCTGCCAAGCTCTGCTCATTAAAACCACAGATGTTTGCTCGCCTCCTCAACTAGTGGATGGCTAATATCTCAACTGGAAGGTGCGTGTCCTTTCTGGTTGTTATGTTATTCAATAACACGGCTTGAGGATCGATATCATGCCATCCGACTGTCAAGCTTCTGAGACGCCTGTCTTATGCAGCGGTACAATTAGTGCTTTGTGTTAAAGCAGCGTTTCAGTAGGAGGACTGAGGCTGAAAACAGGCGGCGGGTGTACAAGCTGATTCACAATGTTTAGCCCTGCAGTGATTCAGGCAGAATAATGGAGCTACATTTCTTCGCTCACCTCTTGGCATATAAGTCTCACACTCACTCTCTCCGAGCCACGAGGGGACAGCAAGGCTAGAATATACATGCAGAGAAAGTCGATGGTGATTTAATCAACAAGTTTGGCTGTTGAATAGAGTGCATCAAGACTGAGAGCTTCTATTAGTCTAATGTAGCCAGACCTTGACCATTGATAAAATCTGGTCCCAAACTTATTCTGGCCAAGAACTGCACACTTAGCAAGGAAAAGGTCATCTGCTCAACATGTAAAACAACCAACCACAATTTAGAGATAAATAATTCAAATATGATGTAACCCTGAGAGCAATACAGTTATGCTCAAGGGTATCTTGTTTACTTGTAATAAATCCAGCTAATCAGATTGAAGCTTAGTGTTTTTTGAAAGCTTTAGCAATTTTTTTTTACAATATGCATCAAATGAACCATCAATATGCACCGCCTGAGGCTAAAGATGCGGTCATACTATACTTTGTTTTCCATTCACTTCCATATGTTAAGTATATGAATACAGGAAATGCAAGCATATGCGCTTAAGTTTCAACTGTCACTGCATACCAAAGTTTGGTGAGTTCTGACCCGTGAATCCATATAAATTGTTATTTTAAATATATATATAAACAGATTTATTTTTAACTAATAACATTATCTAATATTATTATTATAAATCTAATATTAAATACATATTAAATATTTAAAATATACTGAATAAATTAAAATACAGTATTTAATTCAAAATATTATTTAATATTAGTAGTATTATATTATTGAATAATATTTAATAATATCATTTTTGTTATACATTTTATATTAAATTATAAATTAAATAAATTATTCAAAATATTTAAAATATATAAATAAATTAAAAACAGTAATTTGTTTTTAAAATAATCTTTCAAATTAAAAAGTATAATATATCAAATAATAATAAAATAATAATTTGTATAACCTCAAAATTGATGCAGGAATGTCAGCTAGCATTTTTGTTTTTCTCAGGATTAACTAAATACCTCATTCAATCCTGAGGTGTGACAGATCTACACATTGAAGCTGTAAGCTAATTTTCGGTGGCGCATCCCTGGCGTGAGCGGGGAGACTTGGAGAGGACGGGGTGTCATGGTGACGGTCTGCTGAGGCCGTAGCATTAGCACAACTAACAGACTGAAGAGGCAGAGAGAACGGTTGAAGTGTGTGTCTGTGTAAGTGTGTGTTTTCTTTTGTGTGTGTGCATACAAGTAGTCCTGGAAGGCCTGATAAGACAGGGTGATACCAGAAGTGTGACACAAACTGTACCTGCCATACAGACTGTGTATAATCACTAACTGCTAATGCAAGAACTGGAAGATCTTTTAAAGATGCACATTCACACACACCTACACACATACACTAACAACCCCACAAAGACTTCTTTCAAAAGGTCTGTGTACCTCATATGCAATAAACATCAAAATATCAGCAGCAATCACACTGAATGACATATTTACCACGAAACAAACATCACAGGTAAAATAATCAAAAAGACGATTATCACATAAATTGATTTCATTTGCGTAAACCATATTTGGAGAAAATAAATGTGATTTCACTGCACAAATGGCTTTCTTCAAAGGGAGGTTCTGTTTGTTATTCAGACCCTCTGAAGAATTTCATGCGGATGTCAAAACGGTTCGGAACATTGGCACAGACGTAATGTTCCTGAGTACAGATGAACCACAACAACAACCACCACCACCACGACAACAACAACAAAATAACGGGGGGAAAAGACACATTCAAAATAAAGATCACAAACTTGCCAGGTAGTTTGCTGCGGTCACCCCTGGGTATGTTAGATCAAACCGGGTAACCAGCGCAGGCTGCAGGCGAGAAAACACAAAAGAGAGTCACCAGCAAGTCGGCTGCACTCAGGGAAGGAAGAGAGAGGCTGAAGAGACAAGATGAGAGATGAAGAAGACACAGAAATACTGCATGAACCATGAGAAGAAGAAAGAAAAAAGATGGTAGGATGAGGCTTTGATTTTAAGGTTATTTTGGCTCTGACCCCCAAAGACAACCTCCCGACCATAGATACACACCACTGGTAAAAGCAATCTAAAAGGCAGTTTACACTGTGCACTTGCTTTCAAAAACAGCTGGACGGAGAAAAACGAAAATGCATGGAGATGCTTTTTAAAAAGTTGAACTGCATTTAACTTGACACGCCATCTTAAAGGGGTCATATAATGCCATTTTTGTACAAGTTAATGTGAATGTTTAGGGTCTAAATGAAAACTTTGTAATATACTTTTATTAAAAATTCTCATTAGTATTTTAAGAAAACACTAATTCTACCTGGTCAAAAACAGCTCTGTGCATTTGCCTTTAAATGATAATGAGCTTATCTCACTCCGCCCCTCTGTTCTGCGGGCGTTTTGACACAACACACGTGGAGTGTTGCCTTGACAACAGTTGAGGGTATATTTTGGAGAAAGAATGACAGCGGGAGTCTCTGAGGACACATCTGTGTAACCGTATCAATTTGAACCGGAGTCGGACCCGGAACAAGATGACGGCCGCAAAGAAGTTCGACAATTAAGGCTCGAACAGGACGTTTCTGAATGGTTGGTTAACGTAATGTCACTTTGATCTATTTTTGTATGCACTGGCAGGGTAGAGTAGTGAGATACGAACGCTATGTGTTTACTGATGTATACGTTAGTTCATTGACAGATTGACGTTACAACTAATGGTCATGAAAAACTTTTTTTTCGCGATTGGCAAAGATAAATATAAAGGTTAATAAAACTTTACACTTACTTCTTCTGAAGGTGCAGCAGGAACACGAATAGTTGGTACCGATTCTTTTTTTAGGAGCAGCTTCTTAGCAAAACCAGCTCATACTGACCCTCGTTTATAAAGCAGTCTGGTGAGAAATGATTCGCGCAAACATGAAAGCATTGACGTTGATCGTGGGGAATATTCCCTTCGAAAACAAAACTCAGCCACTGCGTCTTCAGCGGTTCAGATTAAGGAACATCAAAATGAATGTGTTCGTTATTACACCCAAGAACAGAACACCACAATCGCTTAGACGCCATTCTGCTCCAGCGTATCAACAATGATGGACTATGATGACAGCTCGCTCAGGGTGTGTTGAAACGCTGCTGTCAATCAACAATCGTGGGAGGGGCGTCCGTTTTATTGACGTCACAAAAACGAACGGCTCAATTTGAGACGGGAAAACATAAGGACATTAAAACAAAAACACTGGATGGATTTTTATCATTATATGATGGTTGTGTACAGGCACTGCCAACACACATTTCAGTACAATCAACTTGAAAAAGTGCATGTATCATTATATGACCCCTTTAAAAATGCAATGCTCATGGCACAAGCTGCTGAAAAACCAGCGAGATGCGACTAAAGACGTCTGTCTGATGCATGTGTGCATAAATCAAAATAGCCCAGATGGAACGTAAGAACACGTCTTTGTGTAACAGTGCTTTCACCTGGCTCTGTGGAACAGGAAGTGAGAGGAATAAGTCAGTGATTTTTTTTTATTTAGTTCTACTGACAAGTAATATCCTGCACCTGAGTGTTTTCAGAGTATTAGACAGAGGTTGTTATGTGACTGGGGGAGAAATGGCTGTTGGCAAAACAGAAAGATTGAGATCTTAAAACACTGTCTGCACAAGAGATGACAGCGCAGAATTCTGATGAGCCTAATGCTTCAGACAGGTCTATACACTCTGGACTGGAATAAAATCATACACTCCCTCAGATCAAATAAAAGCATAGCTTTTGAATCATCTGCAGACAATCAGATGAGGCACAGGCTGTTAATGTCTCTCTGGCAGAGAGCGTGACTCCAGCAGGGTCATATCTGATCACAGAAAAACAGCAACAAAAGCTTTCAATTGTGGAATAAAGAAATATGTTCTTTATCTGGCATTTTTCATGAAAACAGTACACTTTTTTTTTTTTTAAAGGCACAGGGGCACAAATCCAATATTTGTTTGTTTTTTGTGTGAGAACTATTTGATAATCGATGTGTGATGGAATATTATCAATTATACAATGAATTGATACACAATTGTAAATGCAGTAAAAAAAATTTTTAATTAAATAATTTTAAATACCAAAAATATATACTACCGTTCAAAAGTTTTAGGGTCAGTAAAATTTGTTTTTTTTTTAGATCCATTAAAATGATAAGAAGTGACAGTTAAGATTTTTACATTGTTACAAAACAAACAAATAGCATTTCAAATGCTGTTCTTTTGGACTTACTATTGATCAAATAATCATGAAATTTAAAAAATATATATTATGGTTGTTTCCACAAAAATATTAAGCAGCACAACTGTTTTCAACATTGACGATAATAAGAAATACTTCTTAAGCACCAAATCAACATATTATAATGATTTGTAATCATACTAGATGGTCTTTAATCATAGGATTAGTATTTATAATCTGAAACAGAGATTCGTTACCTAAATTCAATATATATTAATAATTATTACTGATGATTTTGCTGCATCTGACAAATATGCCACAAAATAAGATACCTATTTTAATATCATTCATGACTAATCAGAGAATAAAACTGCCCGAGTCAAACAGCGCTATAATTCAGCCAAAGTCAGCCTGCTGTTTAAACTAGCAACTGAGCCCCATCTAGTGTTGAGAAGTCATTTTACAACATTACAATTCTGATTACAACCTCTTGTGCTTTCACAACTTAAAGATCCTCTCCACAAATTATTACTTAATGATCATTTTTATCAAATATTTTTTCACAGCACGTTGCTACCACTATAATGAACACTAACCCATTACCTAAATCACTGCACTCTTCTAATAATGTCTAAATTACAAGTCAAACTCTTTTCAACAAATATGTAAATAATAATAATAATTTCTTTAGATCTTTTTAAATTACTATATGAATGATGAATGAAAACGTGACATGGAAAACTAAACACTCATAAAGAGGCAACCAGATCAACACAATGAAAAGAGAGACAATGTGAAGAGGGGTGTCATGTTATTCATTGGATGGTCTGAAAAAGGGTGACTTACCTTAAGCGGTGAAATGTGAGAGTGGGAAACATAGCCGTGGACATTCTCGATTTCTGAGAGGTTCTTCTCCGACACGTGCACCAGCTCCGGCGCTCGAACTTCATTGGTGAGCCGCGGGAAGTTGTGTTCCAGAGGAGGGGAATCTTCATCCTGATACCGGTACTGTATACAGGAAAAGTAAGAGGAAGAGATGGGGAAACAGAGGAAAGCAGAGAAAATGAAATGAGAAAAGGCAGAAAGAAAACCCACAATCCACTGTGAGCACAATGCAAACACAATTTAAAACATGACCTTCAGCCAATGAGGTTTGTGCCCTGTGAGATGAACAAGCCAAAAAACTCCCATTATTCATTATTTGAAGAATTGAAAAGGACTGAAATCATGATGCATGATGAAGATTAACGTTTTCTGTGAGCAACCTCATGCACACGCAATGATAAAGCAAAGCGCTGGTGCTGACATGCTCCAATCTAGAGAGAGAGAAGTTCTAAATAGTTTGCTCTGCATGCGGTCAAAGCAGGATGCTCATCCATCCGTTCCAGTTGAGCTAAAAAAACAACACTGAAAATGTGTAAAATGAAGACATAACAGTGCAGCACATCAGTTCTTGACAAACAGTGAGGATTCGGTACGGCGCGGCCCCTGTCTTTCTGTCTCACCCAGGGGGAGTTCATCAGGGCAGGATTCATACATGCTGGAGATGGGCTTTGGTGCTGCGAGCCCTGTACCGCTGGAGGCCTGTTCTGTAAGTACACATACACACACACAGGAGCCCAACTGTGAACAACCAATCACAGTCAGTTAAGCTGAATCATTTAAATAATTATACATAAACTAGAGTTCATAAGTTTGGGGTTGGTGCTTTTTAAAGAAGTCTCTGATAATCATTAAGGCTGCATTTATTTGATCAAAAATACAGTAAAAACAGTAATACCCACTGATCTAATATCACAACATATTACAAATTTAACATTGTTTTTATATCATTTTAAATGGCAAAATTCAATTTTCAGTACCATTAATCCAGTCTTCAGTGTCACATGATCCTTCAGAAATCATTCTGGGTTGGTGCTTAAGAACTCTAATTTTTATCAATGTTGAAAACAGTTGTGCTGCTTAACTTCAAAAGAAACAGAATTTTGAATAAACAGAAACAGAATAAATGTCACAGTCACTTTTGATCAATTGAATGCATCTTTGCTGAAAAACAAGCAAACAACAACAACAAAAGTCCTGACCCCAAACGTTTGAACAGTAGTTTAGACCATTTATCAGCCACACAAAAAAATAACATAAGGGAAGAAGCCTTGACCAACAAAAACATACAACCTCACGTGCACACACACACACACACACACACACACACACACACACACACACACACACACACACACACACACACACACACACACAGAGAGAGATCGAACGAATTACAAATTACAATTTAATTTGGATGGCAAATGAGACACTTTCCAACTCAAATGTACTATTTTTAATTTCTAATTGTTCTACAGAGGGAGGACAAATAGATAGTCCTCAATAATTAAAAAAAAAATCTTCAAAAGTGCTTTTTAAAAATAAAACAAAATCTCCTTCTTCTGAGGGACAAAGGCTATCACACATAGTGTAGCTGCAAACAAAAAAACAAAAATACAATTCAATTAAATGAATGACTTCATGAGTGGAGCCTTCATTCCTGTAGCTCAAACAGTAGATGGAGTTAACATTCCCAGGGAATGCATGCAACTGATGCAAGTCCCTTTAGATAAAGGCAAAAAATCCACAAATGTAATGTAAAAAAAATTAGTTGCGAGTAGAGAGGCAGAAAGGAGCCATAATCAACACTTCTGCAATCAAAAAAGCTCAAATATCAGCATGACAGAGAATACATCACACTATGGAGAGATCACAGAGTATAATCATATTTCAGGAATCAGGCTGCACCTGCCCACCCGCAAAGAACACGAGAGCTTTAATTCTCTCTGATGATATGACTCCAAACACTGCACAGAGTAATTATCCTACACCTTACTGACTAGGATTAAGCACAGAGGTGGGCTGTGCTTTGAGTTACAGTGCTTCTCATTATCCGAATCCTCAGAATGTTGCAACATAGAAGTGTTTAAGAATCTTCTCTCGGTTTAGAACTTAAGAACATCATCACTTAGTTCCAAAACCCAGTGATACACCTCACAGCCTTTTAAGGCAGCATTCTTACTGATAATAGGCTGATAACAGTTTTTAGCAACATTTCTCTCAATTTTTGGATGTACACGACCCTTCAAAAAACTGGGGTCGGCACATGTGCGCGCGAAGAGAAACGCACTTACATCTTTCTTTTTTTTTTTTGTGTGGAAACTTTAAAGTGCAAATATATCACCAACTAAATACAGGTCCGGTTCCAGAATCAAATCACCAAGGGTGCTTCTGAAATTAGTGAGGGTGATCTAGTAAAGTGCAGATGTAATGTGTAAGCAACAGCTCCACCATAACAATAATAGCAATGCACAGTGAGAAACTTAAGATTATTTAAAGTAATTACTTTTACAAATAATTGGATATTTTGATTCGAAAATGTTTCTATTTATCTATTAGTCTGCATTCAAATTGCTTGATGCGTATCTATTTTTACGTGCCATATTTTTGTCCCATGCCATGATTATGACTGTCAATCATTGCGATTTTGAGAATGAAGCCTGTATTTATCTTTTCACTTTTGAAACTTTGCAAAATGTAATTGGCCGTCGGTCCTCTTGAAACTATGTCTATGCTCTTAGCAGCATGAAAAACAAAACTTTTATTCAATTGATTGTAGGCTATTCAAAAGCGTGCAAAGAGCACCCCCTTTATAATCACAAAAAAACCTTTCACTAGTCTCAGTTCATCATGATCTCACAAAGTTCTGTTATAATCAATATAATTGTCTACAATGCACAATGAATCTCTTATTTACATCGTGTCTACACTTTGTTTGTTAATGAGAGAAATCGCGAGCGTGCAGAACTCACTGATCAAAAACTCAGATGTTTTGAGCGGTGAGTGGATTCTGACTAAATTAAACACCTCTGATTGGCCATTGCGTTCAGGAGATCAACAAACATGTTTGTGATTTGCTACATTGCTTACCGCAGCAAAAACAAGTTGTGAATAGAAACATTTGATGTTCTCCAGAAATGCGCCTTGGGCCTTTCTCAAATCAGTATGATATTATTACAGTATCAACTGAGGGTGCTCTTACTTTCGTTTTTTGAGGGTGCTTAACACCCTCAAACACCCCCGAAGAACCAGGTCTGACCAAATATAGCCACTTTTATCCACCTCTGTTTCCATGAGCAATTGGCTTAACTGGGCTAAGCAAAGTGACACATGCAACAAATGCCCCTTAAAACATACAAAAATGCTCATAACTCAATAATGAATTATGCTTGGTGTATAATTATTTATTAAGAATAATCACGAAGAGAAACACACGGACTGCAAATAGCCTACAGGTACATTACCAACCAAACAAAAACACATTCTTTCCATGAGTGCTCTCTCGCTGGGAATAACCTACCTGATGATTTGGGAGATCATTACTTAAAATGCAATTTATCACTGTGCCAAAAACCAAAAGCACAAGCTTTTGTGTCAGGTTGTTGTGTTGTAATGCTAAATATAATGGTAGAATTGTGCGTATTATGTCCTGCCAGAACCCGATATGAGATCCACCAATCAGAGAGGTTCCAGAATCTCAATCGATTTTTTGATTGGTAAAAATGAATGGAGAATATATTGTGTTTTTCTGTAGGTGATTGGCCATTTTGGGATATGCTCCTATGGTCTACATTGTCACATGACCCTTCGGAAATCATTCTAATATGCTGATTTGGTGCTCAAGAAAAATTTCTTATTATTATCAATGTTAAGCATAAGCGGATTAAAACGTTTGTGGAAACCATGATATATTTTGATGATTCTTTGATGAATATAAGTTCAAAGGAACAACATTTAATTGAAATAGAAAACTTTTGTAACACTATAAATGTAACTTTTGATCAATTTAATGCATCCTTGCTGAATAAAAATATTAATTTCTCTCTCGCTCTCTCAAGAAAAAAAAAATACAAATCATACTAACCCTAAACTTTTGAACAGTAGTGTATTTTTCTAGCTTGACTTCGTCATACTCATATTCTAGTCAGAATGTGAGTCTGATACTGCTCCATAGGGCTTTGATTATGAGGCGTGTTTTAACCGAACCAGGGAAAAAAAAAAACTCTGCACTCAATTGGATAGACCTACAACCAATCAGAGCAACGCAGTAAGTGACGTATGTTGAGCACGCTAGTTGTCAACAGAACTCAACTGCACGCACGCTGGAAGTAGTAAAATGATGAGTGTTGCTTCTTTTACTTGGTCCTCCATGAGTGCGACCAAAGGAAAAACCACAACGACCACAGGGTTTTCATTGCGTCCCATCTTCTTAGCGACCATCGGAGCCAGCTGATAAATTAAACTTTTGCCGAATCCCGTAGGAAGGACGGCAAACACATCTTTCCGATCGACAAATGCCTTGATTGCAGTTCTCTGTTTGTCTTTTAAAATGAATGCGCTGTCGATTTCTTTTACAACAGACGCGATAGCGAAATCTATACATCTCAATTCTCCAGCTGCAGTCATCTTTGTTGTAAACCAGTTCAAACCAAGCGCTCTTTGATAACGTGATGATTACGTAACTGCAGATCATCTGTCCATCATCGTATAAAGCCCGCCCTGGCAATTTGATTGGCCCGACGATTTCTGAACCGATCATAATTACTCCTCAATGGATCGAGTACAGACCAAACTTCCCGACCAAAAAATGTTGTGGGCGGGGTTCGGGCTGGCATACAGGCTAGTATTTTTCACAAAGATTGGTGAAATGCATTCAGAGATCTCTGCAAATGACACATGATATGCTGCCTTTGAATCTGACTAAAATAACATATTACGATTATACTAAGAACGCACACATGATGCCTTAAATACTGCACAAAGTGGATATCTGCTGGTTTTCTCAGAGGTCAAAGGTGATGGGCATTCTAGGGTGACACAATATCCAACTCTAGGCACATAAAATCTGGGTTTCTGAGCTACAGACTGCCAAGCGGACTGTCAGCTGGCAGTCCAATAGCTGACATATGTAAGACAGTTCATCTCAGGGAAGAAGTCACAAGAGATCAGAATAACAGAATGAAAGTTGTGCTAAGAATACACACATACCGTAAAACACATTCTTACTCACTATGAATCCAACGCATGGATTCAGACATGAAACCCTTCATTTTGATGTTCATTTGAAAACTATTGATACAAAAAAGTAATTTCACCCAATATCTGTGGTGAAAGTGTATCAAATGATTAGCTTAGCAACATGCTAATGACATATTCTATTAGAAACCACTGTAAGTTTGCTACTGTATGCATAACATTGCTATCCACCCATAAAACTTAATGTTCCATTTCAGATATGATGTACCCTAAGGTATCTGCCAATGTACTTCCAAGTTATCTCACAAAGTTCTGGATAAGTCAACACTGAGTTTAAGGACACTCACTATTTTCATTGTCATTGTGTTCCAAGCTGCACACAAGCAGCGTGCTGAACTGCTGAGTTATTGTATGCGAAGGCAGAGATAAATGAAGTTAATGTAAAATAATGACAGGTGGGTGAGAAAAGGTTGTCCCCAGGGTTCCCACAAGGCAGCAGGTCGTGTAACCG